GTAAATATTTGTCAATAACCCAAAAAATTGAAAACTTAATTAGACGTGCATTTATTTCAAAAAAGACTTATTGGCCTTGCCATGATATCTATTTATCGAGATTTAAATTGTCAGACCGATAAGGTTATTTGATGGCAAATAAAAAAATAAAAAAAGATTTTGTAATATACTCGTAATTTGATATTTGTGATTCTGTAATAGTTTAATTTGATTTTAATAAGTTAATAAAAACATAAAAATAAGTTAATAAAAATCATTTTATACTAATTTATAAAATTATTTTACTATTATGACACCTTCTCCCCCTTAAAAAAAATAAGTTTGTAAATACGCCACTATTCACGTGGACTCGACGTGACGTTGTTTTTGGAAGAAGAAAACAGGTTTCACGCCACCGACAACTAAGGGATCTTGGAAATAAATCTTGCGTATGAAATAGTGATATTGATATAATATTATAATAGTGATATTTTTAGTTTTTCATTTTTCATTTCAGTTTATATGGTAACTTATGATTTATCGAAATTTACTACAGAATTCGACGCACACAACAGATTACGTTAAAATCTTGAACAATACGCGATAATTAATTATACGATTCCCACCGTGCAATATTTTGTTGTATTTACTTGTATGGGATGTTTCAAGCAACATTGTAACATTGCCTTTTTTGGTGCAATAATGTTGAAACAACGTTTATGCATACGCTAATGACCAAAATAGACGACCCAGCATTAAAGTTATTTTCAACGCATATGTAACGTATTTTGAAACATTAATGTAACGTCGCAATAACATAGCATTGATATTTTGAAAAACCTCCCAGGAACATTTCAGTGACATAACTATGATGTTGATTGAAATCGAAATAATTATATTGTAAAAAAAAAGCAAAAATTACTGACTTTCTTATCACCTATAGAGAGAATCGAATTTCATACATAGCCCTACCTACAACCTATTGAGTCTCAATTCCTACAGAGTTCGCTTAACCTATCCTATTATTTAAAAAAATCAAGAACATCGTATTTAGCCATTATATTTGCCTCAATTGGTCGTACATTTATATGTAAATATTCTAAACTTCTTATTCAGGTCTTATTATAAAATAACTATTTTGTAAATTATAAACTCCCATTGCTTAGTTAAAATATTCGACGAACAAATTACACAAAATAGGTATGTAATCTATTTTATAAAGAAAATAGTGATTGAGATCATGAGACTCAATTAAAAGGCAATGCATCTTTTCATAAATAACATACACTTTTCAAACTTATACCTACTTATTTAATTTACAACAATAACTAATCAATACCTATAGATTATACATAATGTGAATTATATAATAATTACACTGTAGACTGTAGATAGATTTTTCTTAATAAAAACATATAATATATTTTAGTTTATTTATTCACATAATTTTCAAAAATAAAATTAATTTAAGTAATAATACATTAATATTATAATTGAACGACGAAAGTATACAGAATTCACCAAGTAAGAATTCAGGCGATTCACAATCAAGTACAGGCACACAGAACAATTAATAACAATGTTAAAACTTAAAAGATGTAAATATGTATAACGAATCACTAATCATAATTCATATGAGCTGGTAAGTGATACGTACAGGCTAAATGATGTGCATGTATTTATAAGCACAATGGCTGGCCGTAAGCGGTGGGACGCGGTTTATTAGCAATATGGGTAATCCCGATTCCCGGTTGTTTTCAGATATTATTTTTAGTATATTTTATATTTTACAAAAACAAATAGTTGTAGATTATACAATGTCAACTATTAAATAATAAGAAACATCAAGGTAACGTTACAGAAACTTATTTCTAGAACATTGTAAATTGCAGGTACATTTGATGTTGATGGAACAAACCCTAAAATAGTGTTATAATTATACAACCCTGCAATGTTTTTGAAACATTGAGTGCGATGTTAGCATTGTAACATAAAGCTTACATCGCAACGATGTTTTGTAACTTTAAATGCACAGTGGGTTGCGTTTTGTATCCGTTATGAATTATTGTGAATTTGGAAAAAATAACATTTTCTGCAGGTGTTTGGTGGAGATAAGGAAGTTAGATTTAATTAGGTTTGTGAGTTAAATATTTAAATTACAAATAAAACTGTTTAACTTCTATTTCATACTGTGATATCATAAAAAAAGTATTACACAATCGACTATCGAGAAATCGTAGTAGCAAGGTTATTGATGTTTTAAAGTTACAAAACATTCCATATCGTCATGTTATTATTGTTATCAATTATAATACGAATAAAATTTATATTTCACATCAATCAGCCGTTTCGTGTATTCAAGATAAACCAATTTTTCTTCTACATAGAATTTGTAAAAATCTCAGAAAAATTTCAGGGGGGGGTAAACCACCAAACCCCACCCCTAGTTGTGCCATTGTCTTCATGGAGTAAAATAGTTATGGGAACAATCGAGAGAAAATACTCGAAAAAACTCGATTGTTCGATGTAATCGATTGTTCTCGATTATTTTGGAAATCATCGAGGATTCTCTCGGTGTCAAAATCGGTTGAAATAATCGAATGAAAAATGCTCGATTACTCATACACTCGTTTGGTTCCGAGTTATTCTCTCGGTAACAAAATCCTATATCAGTTGAAGTAATCGAGCGAAAAATGCTAGTTAGGTTAGATAAGGTCTAAGATAATATAACATATAACTAATAGGTAGTACTAGATTACTTTTTGTTCGTATTCATCGCTCATCATACCCGAAATATTTGTAATCGAATTATGACAAAAATAAAAATGAAAAATTGTAAAACATTTTGATATTTGTGTTTTTTCTGTGTCTTCGCTTCCTTTTTAAACATTCGTTTATGAGCGAATAGAATGGTACTAATTTATTATTGCCATACTAGAAATGATAATTAGATTTGGGTATTCTAACTCCCAACACCCATTTTTGATTATTTAAAATTATAGTACATAACATATTTTAATGTTTAGAAATTTGATTAGGTATTTTATCGTTGAATCCAACAATTCAAATTCTAATCACTGCTTGTAAAGATGCATTCATTAAATTAAATATGACAAATGTAGTAGCTTAAAATTGACAAATTTTAATAGTAAGATATTGTGATATTATATTTTATTTTAGTTTTTATCCATTTTTAGTCAGAATAATATTTTTAAACAGTAATTTAAACATTTTTTAACTTTTTTTAACTTAAAAATTTTTTTTTTATTTACTATATATTGAGTTGTAATTTAATAAGTATCAATTTTTATTGTTTTAAACAAGGATGTAGTTTTATTTTATTTATATGAAGTTGATAATAAACTAAAATATTCCCAAAAAAAATACGACATGTTTAATTTTATGGTTCATTAATATATTGTATATAATTAAAATGTATTATGGTTAATGTATTTATTATAAGTAATACAACGTACTTATTAGTTTAATTATTATTCAAAAGAACGAGCGATTTCATAATTTAATATTACACTAGGTACTATCTACAAGAATTTTAAATTTTTATTCAGTAATCAGTAAATAGTTACTATCAACTAAGTACTAATTGAGAGATTTTTTTCGAGTGAATCACTCGATTGTTCCCATCACTAGAGTAAATATCATTAAAGAGAAAATAAGAAATTTTAAGTTTAAACCGATATGTTTGGTAAACGATAAGAAACATAAACTGATAACATTAACTACTACACAAATGTTGGTCCGTATCACGGTTATAAACGATATCTCCTTATACCGTGGTCGGTATCATTACACTGTACAGCAGCATAACGGTGCCACCTAATATTTTTTGTATTATATTATGTTTAAAGAAGGGCATGAAATCCATAGACTTAAATTTTCCAAATTCCAGATTTGATAATTTGTCTGCGATTAAAACGCTTTTTCTCAAACCGTTTTTATGGGACCGCGTTCGTCTCTTGACTTGCAGTGTTCTTCAGTCGTAATCATTTTGTATTTTAATTCAGTTTTACGTTCGTTCGTCAAGAAATGCAAGAAATCGGCATCAAAAGATAACGAGATACAACGAAGCTTTCTTTTTTGGTAATTTATTTTTACTTAGCGACTAGTTTTTATCAAATATTACCGACGTTGTACAGAATGATAATATTTATCGGTCAACGTCAATGTTCTGTGCGACTCTCGACAACCTTTACGGTCGACCTCTAAGAGTCAGATGATGTACAGCATACGGCGACGGTGCGTAAAGAGGTGGTGCACAAATGATTTGTAAGATACAATGTAGGCGGGTGAGAAAAAAAACATTAATCTTTTTAGAGATATAGGTATACTTAACAACGTTTAATTTTATCAAGCTCTCCGAGCTCTTCGTCACGGTAAAATAAAAATAAATAATCTTGTTTCCACGATCGCGCGACGCACGGAACGATAAAAATACATCGATTGTGCTCCAAACGTATTACTAACGGACGTATCTGTGCGCGTAGCCAATTCTTGTACGACCGCGCGGAGAATGACGAACGTGTGCTCCGGTTATAATTTAATCACTAACAGGCACACACTTCTAAACGCAAAAAGCTACAACTTTCTCTCTTTTTTTTTTTAAATATTTTTGTTAATTAAACACTTATAATCGTTAATAATCCGCTACAGAATCTAATAATTGTTTGTATAATAATTTTTTTTTAGGACGTTCACGTGCTCCTGTGCACCGTAGCACGGGCTGCCGCTGGTAACCGTCACTGGTGTAGATTTTATCGCCGTCTTGGCGCTGCTGCTCTTTACATTTCGGTAAAATTTTTTATTATTTATATGAGAGAAAAAAAAATAATTATTAAAATAATGGCCGTTCGCCATGGTCTCCGGAGAAAATTCCAAATAATCTGAAAATAAATAATCGTTAACTGTTTTACCTCCTATTTTATTAGTCTCATGCGCCGCGCTCGGCTCGTATCGCGTTTACCTACGCTCGCTCGGCTCGTATCGCATTTACCTACGCTCGCTCGTATCGTCCCACGCGATCGTCCAAAACACAATATTAGTGAACATACGCGACGTCTTTTTGTAACTGCGCGTCGTCGACAAAATATCAACTCACATTTAGACACGGTTCGGTCGTCCACAAACGTACGTATGTCGCGTTAAATCAGTTGTAAATGAGTTTTTAAAATGTAAAAATCGAACCCTTCGACCGTTTAAGAACCGCCGTATGCGACTAACGGTGTAGACGAGAAAAAAATCAAATCAACAATCAACAATTGTAATTGTATCAAACAAATTGCACCATTTTCTTGTAATAAATAACAAACAGTTTTCTCACGCGGATGAACTTCGATCAGTACAGTTCAGCAGGTATTTTTATACACGATATGGAAACAACATATTTTTCCACTCCATTATACTCGATTGATATTGAATTGTTATTTACTAATTTTCCCGAGGTAGTAAACTGTAACAGTGCCGTTACCACGAGTCATTTTAAAAATTGTTTTTGGTTTTCAAATTATACGCAATGCCGGGTCTAGGACATTTGATGCCCGGGACTAATAAAAATGCAACGCCCTTGCGTAAGTGCAAGTACGGGGCATGACTTTTTTTTAAGAGCTCCCTTATCTCAAGAATACCTGAGGAGAGTATACCCACTTCGCCCTTCCTCTTTATAATTAGCACTGTGCGTGTGACTGCATATGAATCGCGTGAAAAAAAAATACATTGTGAAGGCTAAATTGCATGCACGGCTTTCTCATTACTCGCGTCCAGTGGCGCCGATCTATATTTCATGTTATGGGGAAAAATCGCTGGTGTTAGACCCACCCACCCACCTTCTAAAAAAATGTTGAGCAATTGAATAGAAGTTTATTTATAGTATTTATTTCCAACTATAAACAGATAATAGAACTTGAATTAAATAGTATTATTTACAAAATAAAAATATAATGTGCAGATATAAATGTATACTTAAACTATACTAAAGTAGATTAATAAATAAATAACAATGGTAATAATAATAAATATACTGGGTGATTGATTTTATGTAGAACTTTCATTATTTCGCAGTTATGGCTCTTTTCAAAATAATTCTTTTATATAATTATAAGTCAATATAGAACAACATTTTTCGAAAAAAAAAATATTTTTTTATTATTTTTTATCATTGTTATTTTAAAGGTTTTTAATTTTTTTTATGACAATGTTATTTTTTTATGGGATATTTTGTAAAAAAGTGAAAACTTAAAAAATATAATAATAAAAAAAAATTAATCATAGAAAAATGTTGTTTTATATTGATTAAAAATTATGTAAAAGAAATATTTTTAAAAAAGTCATTGCTTTGCGAAATAATGAGTGTTCTACGTAAACTCAATCACTCTGTATATCATCTAAATTAATAAATGCATTAACTGATTGCTGTTGTTTGCAAATGTATTTATTACATTTTCTTTGTTAATTTTTATATCTTGTACACAAGCTATGCGCATCAATCTTTCTAGTTATGCCTCTACCATTGTAGATCGCAATCTTGTCTTAATTAATTTTAATTTTGAAAAACTTCGTTTGATAGTAGCACTTGAAACTGGCAATGTTACTCCAATTTTCACTAATATATAAATATTTGATCAAATTTAATTCTGATTCCGGCGCCTCTCATGCACCCTTCTCATTTTGGCGCCCTTTGCCGTCGTACGCTTCGATCGTATCTTAAGCCGGTCCTGCTTGGCCCAGCCATATCGTTTATTGAAATTTTATTTGTAAATACTAATATAGCACACGTCAACACAGTATTATCCTATATATCCGTAAAAATACCTAAATTTTATAATTTTAAATTAAATACTAGTCTACTGATTGATTTGAAACAATATTTGTATTTCATGTAAATGAAAGTGTTTCTGAAAATATATAATTTTTAATGATTATCGGGAACGCTAATTGTTAGAAAACCACTTACGTAATACAAACCCATCGTCAAGAACCTCCATAGACTAAATATCATTTTTTGATCGCGCCAATGCGCTTATACCATAAATGTCATGATCATAATGGTTTCAGAAATAAAATAAATAACAATATCAACGATAGCAATTAGTTTATAACATATTAAACATTTTAACATTGAAAATCGATGTTGAAGAACTCATGAATAAACTTTAATATATAAACAGTTTTTTTATACTAGAGTGTTCCAACATTAATGATAGTGTATTGCTAATGACTATAGTTTGCATGATATTATAATATATTGAAGGTCGTTTACTTACTATGAAATCACTCTGTTACTCTAATCAGATTGCATTATGATGAGTGACGAACTAAAAGGATTTATAAGGATCGGGGAGTTATGTGAAACCATTAACTTCTTATAAACTATTTACATCGTTTTACAGGATCCGGAGTAGAACAGCTCCAACCGCAAAATATTTATTATTTTAACAAATTCGTTTATTCCATTCAGAACTCTAGTCTTGTTTGCTATACCCCGTAAATCTTGAATTAAAATCTTGACCATCGGTGTGTAAACCCTCTAGCTCAACTCGTGATCGTTTTTAAAATAACCTTATGGATCTTTTTTTTATGTTCAAAAAATATATTAAATCACATCGTATGCCGATTTAATACAAGTACGTCCAACAGAAACATTGTTGACCGCAACTGTTTAAATGTATTTATCGTACGTATTATTTCATAAGATATAATCCTTAATGTAACATTTTTCTCAGGGCTTTGTACCCGAATTAACCCAAACCCGTAACACCCTTAAAAAATCCTTAAAAAAATCAAACACTCAAAATCCATATAACCTGAATGATTTTTTTTTTTTTAAACACCCGAATTAACCAAAACCCGAATAAAATATTGGTTTGTAACCCGAAACCCGTATAATTTTTTTATTTTACAATCTTTATGTGACACATCATTTTGTATGTATTTTTTGTGGTTATTTCAATTTTGTCATTAGTTGTTTAACAGTAAAATTATGACTTACAGGAATAATTTCACAAATAATATACAAAATTGTAAATTAATCTAATTTTATCTAAATAAAGACAATACAATATATCATATTGACAGGTATGCATGAATGGTATAGTATGTTGAATGTTCAAGTGTAAACAACTGGGATACTATTTTTAAAATTGTCCCAAGCAGATACGTCGTATTATTATAATTTAATAGGTAATAAGTAATAGGTCTTCTACGAATCACCAAGTCGTTATTTATTGCAATACTGTAAGTCTGAAATAGAATTGATGTTTGATGATTACCTAAATTGTTGTTCGCGTTATTCGTATTTGTTTAGAGTATGGCGTGTAGTACACATGTATACGAGTATGGTGTGAATTGTCAATTTTTGTTGGTGTAATAATTTCATCGTAATATTCAGAAGTACAAATTATTATTATATTTGTATTACGCTATTTCCTAGCTAGTTCGTTTTTAGTGTGTGCACGCACCACAAACCATAAGCGGACATTTGGTGAAATTTTTGGGGGGCTGAGCATTATTTGCTTATTACACCTATAGATACTATTGTGTGCAATTATTTATTTCAACAAGGCAATTTACGAAGTTTGACAATTTGACATTTTTAATCAACAATTTAAACAAAATAACAATTAGGTGCCTTATCTTAATCATTTTTGGAGTAGATATTCTAAACAGAAATTATTAATTAATTAAATTAAACAACCTATACGGGTATTATTACATATTATTAATATTACATTAATTGCGATCGTTCCAAGTCATGACAAGAAGTTTATAAAATCTTATGAATTTGATTTAATTTTTATCACAGAATATTCTTTTTTAAATTCAGTTATTAAAAATGTATTTAACAATAATTGTATTTTACTATAATTATTAAAGTAATTATTGTAATTTTAGTCACTTAACAATTTTTAGGGCTAGGGTAGCTAAGACCTGTACTTAATATTTCTGGGGGGGGGGGGCTTAGTCCCCTAAAGCATAGATTAAATATACACTGTATATTTAATCTATGCCTCAAGCCTCTTCCCCCGATTTCCGCTTATGCCACAAACACAAACGTAGAATATAAAATAGTTTGTTTTACATTTAATGTATATTTTTTTTAAATTAATTTATTAAGTTTTATTTTAAAACTTTTATTATTCAACATATAAATGCAGTAAAAATGTCAAAAAATGTTAAATAAAAGTTACATTTTTTAATTCCTTATTGTATGAAATAAACTTCGTGCTTGGAAAGCAATATTTTCAAAAAAAAAAATGCAATCTGCATTAAAATCCGTTCCCTATTCATGATCAATGATCACAGGTACTGCCGGTGGTGGAAACGACCGTTCGTCTTCGACTGACGTATGTCTGCCGAACAACGCATGGCGGATAGGCGATATTCATTATGGCTCATACGGAAAGCTCCGACATCAATATGATTCCGTTGTGGAATGGTACGGACTTCCATACCGCAACATTAATAGTTGTAAATAATACCATCTGGGCAACTTTATAAGTCACACGACGGACGTGCGTGTATTGTCGTCGCGCAATTTCTGTGAAAACCATTGTTCCGGATGGAATTGTTTAGCAGTTTGTTTTGTAATTCATGCGGAAACAATCAAAACGTTTAAAACAAACCTTAAGTGTAATCTCGATTCCACAGTTGTCTAATTTCATTCATAATACCACGGACGTATCGCGTTAAGTGGCTTCGTACGGATCTGGAAATCAGACACCACAACGCGCAGAAACATTCGTTTCTCCTGTTCGCAAAAAGTCTCGATTCCGGATTTCCTTTGCACCCTTTGCCGTTCTGTTTCGGATACGCGTGCAATCCGACGTTGTTCACGATAACTTATACGACATGAACATTTGGCGTAAACCGTGTTTTACGTTTAACGCAATTTATCATGTTTATCTTTCTCTCTCTCTAACTCTCTCTAGGGCAATTATGTCTTTACTACGGATCGTGCAAATCGTTTCAAAGTAGAATATCGTCACGGTTATTCCCATATGAAAATCTAAACTGAAAAAGCTCCAGCTTTTCGAATCGTCAAAGTTTCAATATCTCGAGTTGACGCCGTTATCGTGATAACAGAAATAATGTTTATTCGCGTGGTTTAAATTATTGAAATTTTAAAATCGTTCGAAGAGCGAGCGTGGTGCGATATTACTTATCCATCGCGTTACGCCGTGAAAATCTTTTTCTCGTCCGAGCTAGAGTAACATATTTTTACGCAAAGAACAAAACTTATGAAATACGCGCGAGCTCTTCCTGTGACATATTTTAACGCGGTTGTGTGATTAAAAATACCGATAGTTTTGGAGCACGTATAAACACAGAGATATAAATAATAATAATAATCATAGAAG